TTCTCCAATTCTTCGGAAATAGCACCATAGGCATTTTGATTAAAAATCGCATTGTGGTTTATGTTCATATTTGAATTTCGATTTCTCTCCGCTTTTGCGTTTAAACATTTCACTTCACATTGTCAGTAGAACATAGATGAATTAAATTGATTGAGACAAGGATTAAAAAACTGTTCAGATTAATAACGTGCACGATATTTCATGCGAACGCTGCACGGAATACGTGTATTAATATTATTTTTGCTTCCCGGCTTTCTTGAAATTTCAAGAATAACAGGAGAGTCATTTCTTACACGCGCGTAGAGAACTTTTGGTACAGTCAGGACGTAAAGTGTTCCCGCAGCACACGAGGCATTAAATTATATTTTCCGCGCCGTCAGTTTGCAACGTATCCTTCTCACGTTTACGCGGCGAGTCTGTACCTTTGAGCAAACAACTCAGTGATCTACGAAACTGTGGAAATTTCATCTCCCGTGTATTCTTCCTAGTCTATGCTTCTTTTTAAATGTGTACACATTTACTCGAGATTAATGAAGTATACAATTTTTCTTCTTTACGCTTCCATTTGAATCTAGAAGAAGATCAGACGATATCTGCAATGAGGGTCTGCGAAATCGATTTCTAAAACGAATTTCGATTTCGATTCCCCCGGACAATGGACTGTGGAAAATCGAATTCCAAATTTATATCTGGAGGTGTAGCTACTCATGGGAATACAGGTTCTTCGCTATAGACCATTTGCTATTACCAAGGTTCGACGATCATTCTCAATTGTTAATTTACAGCTTCATCGTAATAAGAGATTAACGTTAATCCCTGTGACGGTCAAGATTTATCTTGATTCGATTCTCACCTCTTTACTGACGATTAGTCCCTTCTCTAAATCTCCGTCGTTGTTAAGGATCGAATCTAATTAACCCACCTCTATTGGCCAATTTTCGTGGGAACGTAATCTCGAAAGCCCCAGAAAATTGAATTCGGGATCGCGGTCTCTATTGAATAAATGAAACTTTTATATGATCGATACAGTGCATCTTGTTCAAGAAATTCCCTCACGCACTAATTTTTACACTTATGGAAATTGCAGACGACACTTTTATACACATAGTTTTATATACGTACATTATTAATCGTCTACATTTATGATGAGCATTCAATTCAACACCTAAATCTTTTATAAATAAACTCTTCGCAGCAGGGCATGATATTGTTTATCATAGGAGAAAATTTCAAAGATCATCCAACAGTGAATGCGGCCAATTTACCCGCAAAGAGTTTATCGTTTGTTTCCATTCAAAGAGTATTGAATAGGTTGACGCGAGGCGTCGAAAGGAGAAAAGTTTCCCGCAGGAGCATCAAAGGGATGAAAAATTACGGGTGAGGAACTCTACTCGCCAGTATATCTCCCGAGGGTTCTTATTATCCGGCGTGCCAATAATTTCTCCCGACTCCATTCTCACTCTCTCTCTCTTTTTTTTTTGTTTGAATTAACGCGATCGTATAAAAGGCACGAAACGCGGTCTGCGAGTCCCGTGCAGACGACAGCGTTTTCTTCTCGATTTTCAGCGCGTGAAAGCTATTTAGCGGCACTCTTTAGACGAGTGGAGCGTCTCGACTTTCGATCGTTGTTGCCTCGCTGAAATTCGATTTATCCACGGAACTGTTGTACTCATCTAACTGAATCGCGTCTAACCATTCACCGTGCGCTTGAGGCTGTAGCGAACGGTTCGCTTGGCTGCACTTTAATGAGCTTCCATGTACTTTCCGGGAGAAAGATGATTTCCTTTCGCTTTGAGACAAAAAAAGGCGACCAATTATTCAGTTGATCTTTCAACCGTTGATACGAGCCGTTGAAGGTCCAACTATTCCCTCACGAAACCGTCCCCCTTTTTTACTTCGCTGCGCATCGTCGCAACAACCAATTTCCATTTGTTACCCGAAGATCGTGATTGCTTCGGAGACTGGCCTGGCTTCTGGCAGTTAAAGCTTCCGTTTTGCTCGCTGTCTATTCTGTACTCCGCCGTTTCTTATAAGCTAGAATTTAACCGCTGAATCACGGATTCATTGCTACCTTTTTCTCTTATTGCGCGAGAGGAACTTTTTACGTATTTATAACCGTCCTAAATCGGTGTGCTGGGACATCCTGCGGTATCTATGAGCATACATCTTTTCCGTCACGTGTAAACGTGGTACCGTTCTAATTATATTTGCCGATTCCCTTGCCAAGTTAATGACAAATGGCTTGCTGATGCTGCCGCAGAAATACCATCTAATTTTTATAAGGCTAGTCGAGCTATTAATTTATTGACTCGTTTGCGAATACTTTCGTGAACGTATGTGAAGTGTGGACCACGGTTTGTGCGCTACGCTGTATACGAAAAGCTGCACCGATCCAATAAAAGATTCTTACGTCCTTCCCAAGACGTGTATTATTTATCGGCTGTGTCACAGACACAACCGAGTATCATTCACGCTATTCCCTTCAAGTCGTTCAAGCATATTTCTCTGATACAGTCTCGGGACTATCAGGCTATTGAGAGCCATCGTTCGATCCGATGCTGTTCACGATATGCATTTTATCACTGCGATCATGATTGGAACGATATTTAATAACGGATTATACATAGTAGACGTTTAGATAAATTTATATTCGTAAATCAGCGTCCTCTTTGGAAATACCTAGAACGTTTTTTGAATAAATATTTTATCTTTTTCTCCTGGTATGACTGCGTGGGAGATTCCCACTTGTGCTTGTTTCTACTTGACTGTAGGCTATATTTCTCAGAGTCGCTGTCTAATCTGGCCATAAAGAAGGATAAACTACAAGCCTGAATCTTTCTGGGCAACAGAATTCATATATCTATTATTCAACTACGTGCTGGGACAGGATAGAAAAAAATGTGTGCATGTTATTCTAGAAGGGGGCGTTATGATTTATTGGGTGCACGATAGTTTTATGAAGTGGTTGCACAGTATATTAAGAAGTATTCCATCTAAAAAACCAGCACGAACAACGGGTGCGCGAGGTGTACAAGTGCGTTTTTCCAAACTATTTTTACGTTATGAATTATTCCTGACTCGCGTTTACATTTCTCTACAGGTTTTTAATCCGTTCTTTGAAACAAACATGTGCAAATAACGTTGCTGGCTAACGATATTTCCAAGCCAATATTTGCACGCGAAGCACACGTTATGCTGGAAACAAATACTACCAAGTGGTGTATTCTCGATTACTTTCGTAAAAAATCGTTTTAAAACATTTGAAACTTTTTTACTGACAATTATTTACAGCCCTTCGTTAAAGCCTCCTGATTGAAATTGATAGGTATATCAATTGTGTAATTCGAGAGGAGGCAATTAATATTAATCGCTTTATTGGACATCCTTTTCATCTCAAGTAGCGAATTACATGCCTCTATGTACGTGCGCAACACTCGTCCGCACGTCCGTTTGCCGACCACAAGTGAAACTGGAACACTATGTTTGAATCGTGATTTTCGTCTCTTGTTTCACGTGCGACGTGAGCGTTATTTATTTTCCTCGGGGCGAATTGTCAAGGCGGCATTTGCGCGGCCGAGGTCACTGCTAACTGTACGCGTACGTTATATTCATTCTACTTATGGACATAGTGATCTTTCACATAGTGCACTCCGTTTCGCAGCTTTTATTCCTTAAGTCCCGTCTTTTACGGTCCGCGGCAATAACTGTTTAAGCGAAACCGAGCTGGCATTAAATTGAATTTAATCGGCTTTGAAACGCCGAGCTGTTTCGACTCGAAACGTGGCCAACTTCTTAAGTCGTAAGCTTTGATAACAGGTTCAGCTTATAGTAATTTGGAATTCGTAATATCTCAAGAAATGTTTCGGATATGCAAGCTAATTAGCTTGTTAAGTTATACAGAATAATTACGTTGAGATGATATATTTATATTATTAATAGATTTTATGGATTTGAACGAAAATTAAATCTGAATATAATATATAGAATGATGATAATGATAAGAGAAATGTTTATCTGAAAAATATTTTTCAAACTGAAACCGTACGAAGTTACCAGGTCTGATAGAACAGAGATTTAATCAGAGCATAAAAAACGTTATTGTACACCATCCAATTAACTGAATGATCTTAACGTGAACTTAACGAAATTGCAGTTTAATAGTAATGTGCTTCTTTCACGTTATTTACTTCGCTCACCGCTCAATAACTGATTGGTAAACATGTTCGTTTTCAAAATATGTGCAGAGAGTAATTGGTTCATACGGAAGTTGCTGCACTTGCCGCGGAAATAAAGCGTTGAATTATTTGCCCGAAATTTTATTTACGATCCTACATACGGCGAGTCAGTTTTTCTTAGCAATTTGTACCGTGTTATTAAATCTTTGATGATTTATACTTTTTCCGATATCGGTAACGGGGGAACATTCATCTTCTCCCCATTTCATTTCAATTATGCAACCGAAAACATTTAACAGACTGCAGGTGCAAGCTGTATTTCTTACAGATTTAAAAAAATCATATTTTTCTATCATTACGCATTATCCTGATAACATTTAGCATTTGCTAAAATCTTTCTATTTGGTTTTAATCATGCACCGCAAACGTTTAACTTCCGCAGATGCAAGCTGTATTTTTTACAAATTTTATAAATGCATCATATTTTTCTAACAGTCTCTATTATCCATTTATTATTGCGTAAGTTCTTGGCACGATGCCCGTGCATCAAAGAGATTGAATACGTCGAGGTTTTCTTTTGCGAAAGGAATTGTTTCCTCGTGTATATCGCTGAAAGCATGTCAGCTTAAAATGTAGAATGCTGACGTAGCGTTTTGTTTGATATCGGCAAATAGGAGAAAATCAGTAACAGTAGTGAACATTTCAACTGTTCATTTATCTTCACGAGAGAATTAGCGAGTGAATTAGACGTCAGTAAAACTGAGCCGTTCAGTGGCTTGCGACTAGGATCAAGTAGTACGAACGTTAGTTATGCGCGGCGCTTACCTGTCGATGGAAATTGCCATTAAAGTGAAGACACTGGCGCAAATAGTGAGGACCGCGATGAACTGACAGATCTTGCAGTATAGAGTGCCGAAGGGCCAGTGGCTGTTCAACATGTAAATATAGTTGAACGTCACGTTCAACGTGGACACCATAGCGTCCGCGATGCTCAAATTCACTAGGAAATAATTGGTAACCGTACGCATCCTTTTGTGCGCCATCACGATCCAAATCACTATGAAATTACCACCAGTGGCGACTATGATCATACACGCGAACAATAATGTCCAGATCATTTGCCGCCACCACGGGAGTATGAACTGATTACGTAATTGCAAATCCGTGGTGTTAGTGTTATTGTAGTACGTGTAGTTCTCCATCCACACGGTGGAATTCCACGGGCTAGGCGTGGAATTCACAAAAAGCTCGAGGGCCTGCATCTTCGAGCTATCCCCTTGTACACTTTGATCTTATTTACTGAGAACGTTGCAACGTCACAACACAGATATTCTTCTGAAGCACTGTCATATTTAATTTCTATAATTTAATTTAATGCGAACGTTTATGTTAACATCGTACACTTTTTTATATGCTAGAATTTGACAGTATCTTATTATCACTTCGATAACGTCGTCGATTTCCCCTGCGAATTCTCGAGACACTATAACGAACAGCGGGTGGAACGCATCGCGCACTGTGAACGGACCGATCCGGTTTCGAGCGAACGTCAATTCGAAGGCGGTACATGTGTGCCTGTCTAGGTAAACGTTTGATCAGTTTCGTATCGATACGGATATAATGAAGTCGGTGACGCTTGCCCGCACTCCCCGGTGCAAATTCCCTTTGCGTTTCAGGGGATGTTGGCCATCATCTGGCATGGCTGATTCGCCGACGATGCTCACTTCCACTTCCGTTTCATGCACGGACGCCTCTTAACAGGCTTTCATTCGACCATGACAGTCGTTGACCTACTAAATCAATTCGTATTATTCTCCTGGATTATCTTTCGGGGAATCAAATTTTTCTATCAATATCATCGTAATAGATTGGTTGCCCGTTCTTCATTTGTAAAACGATAATCGTTATCGATGGTAATTCATCATCGAGCAGCGCGTGATCGACGTGCCTTTTTACGCCCTCACGAATTTTTCACCTGCGAGCGCTGTTTGCTTTTCAATTTCATTCAATGTATTCCATTTCGTAGTTCGATCGATACAATTTCAACAGATACTTGTTCTGTAATTAATCTCAGTAAATCCTTTCTTTTCTCGCGCGAAATCTGGCAATCTAGGCGTGCTTTCCCATCACGTCCTCTTTTAATGAAAGCTGCATCTTTATCTATTGTGTCCCAGCTTTTCACGACTCTCCGTTCCACGGGTAATTACCCCTTGCCGGAAACTTTCAGCTTCAGGTATTGTTAAAGAAATCCTCTCCGTAGACCGTCGCCGAGCTACACGGACCCAACTTTTTCCCTCGATCAACGGGGCGCTCGAACTTCAGTCTATTTCAGCCTGTCCTTTCATTTGCCTCGAATGAATTCGAAAATACTTGAACTCGAGCACACGCGTCCAGGCGAGAGTCCGTTGTCATGTCGAGCCTTCGCTTCCTGTTTCTTTCCAACTTTTTTCCTCGCTTCCTCTCGACCCGCCGTCTTCAGGGTCACCACTTCGCGTCGATTTTCATTTTCTTATCTATATAGGGTATCTATACGGGAACGTTGAAAACGATAATGTCGTCAGAGTTTGACCCACGCTTTTCTTCTTCGAGGTGTGCTCGTTAGCCTGGTCAAACACTTCAACCAGTTCTCTTAATTTTCCATCAATCCCGAGAGTCTCCTTTAATGCATCCGAGATAAGAATTCACGGGTCGCGTTCTGTCCTCGAAATGATCTCGACTCGAGGTCGAGCATGCGGAGGTTCTTCGCATTTCGCGTGAACGTCTCTCATGAAAGAATTTTCCCCTTTGTATTCGAGTCGCGATCGAACCGAGATTTTCGTCGCGCCAGCGGAGAAGCATCTCTGTGACGATTCGATTTGAACGATCGGTTTTCGTGGGAGCACACTCGCATCGGTTTTACGGGTTACGGAGAATAGCTGGTGCAGTTGTGTTAACGGTGTACTGGGAATCGTTAAACCGCGGAAGATATCGCTCGAGGAAAACCACTTCCACGAACGATGGCGTGTCTAGAGACTGGCGGAAAATTATTTTCGAATATTCGCCATTCGGAAACGAGGACAAGAATGCTCCTGTTCGTAGTCACCGCCGCGCCGCGCGCCGTGCAGTTTCCCCCGATGCTTCCGACAATCCTCATCGGAATCGACGTCCCAGAATCGCACTATCTTATTCCGTCCGTACGGGCGAACTGCTCTCCTGAACTTTTTGTCGCGTTCGCAATTCCTTTCGAAACCCGTCCTGGCCACCACTGCAACATAAATCATAAAACGGATTTTTTTTAATTCCATCCTAGTAGTTTTAAAGGGTGAGTCATCGATTCTATTATCAAGCCTGACAGAAATACAGTTTCATTTGGCAAAATTTAATAATCGATGAAATTATTGAACAAAGATTCAGGTTTTATTGATTTTATATCATCTAAACGCATATTTATGTTCCCCTGCTAATGAAGAATAATTGCTGGAACATCCAGACGTACTTCATTGAAGGTCTCTTGTATGCATCAATTGAACAGCGAACAGTATTTGTCCAGAATGTTCAACGTATGTAGATAGACTGGCCTCGTTCCTTATGTTACATGGCACAGATACTTCGTATGACGAGATCAATCATCCGAACATTTACAATCGAAGAAATTGTTGTAGAAGTTTCATCAAGATCTGATAGTTTATTATTCATTTTTCTGAATTTCTGAAATATTCTGAAATATTTCAGAGACAAGTAAAATGTTTCGAAATAGTACAATCCGCCATCAGGATAATTCAGTACGGAGAGTTGAAACGGGGATTGCGAAATAGATACAAATTCCTTAGAAACGCCTGAATAAAAATCAACGTCTTAACTGACCTTATTCTTACTAACAATCCATAGAATTCTGCAATTCCGAGGAACGCGAATATCAGTATTATATTTTTCCAAATAATCTTGAATATAAACTAACGATACAAAATTATTCGATTGTAATTTGAAGAAAATCACGTTCAATAACTATAAATGAATATTGTGTTATAAGAAAATTCGATGACAAGGTGAATTGAAAATTAAGTTCGCCACTTATGGGGATTATTTAATGAACTATGTTACTACCGTAATTGCGAGATAAATTTAGGTGTACTCAGGGGAATAGATTGAATATCAGGATAGTCTTGTACGGTAGTAAGAGACATGTATTATGAAGATAAGGGAGCGAGTAATTATCTCGAATCGCACATCTTGATTTGGAATACTTCCAACGTGCAATTGATCCGCTTAGTCCTTTGTGCGTTAGAAGGAACTTGTAATTACATACCTTGTAATTACATAGCCTCCTACCATCCCTTCTCTAAACAGGTTCAGCATATTCGCGTGCATAGAAACGTGAGCTACGCATCGATTAAAGCTTGCCTCTCCCCATTGTAAGTTCGGTCTTTAATAAAGGACCTTTACTCTTTTAACCTTTATCGAGAAAGGACTACGGTCAGTGTAATGGAATCGCGATAAACATAGTTAGTGTTAGTGTCTATCAATAGGAAATAATAATGTGATACAAAGGGAAATAAAAAATGTTACATTCGAAGGGAACGTCGTAAGATATTTTGATGTATCTATCAATGAGCAGGGAATTGAGCAAACTCGAATCTCGCTCGAATAAATTGAATCGAATTAATGATCCGCTATAGTAGTTCGATTGGGCTTTAATTCGATGAAGGGCAGTAATTTAATTATCAGATTATACCTGGAGGTAATGCCGGTAATTGAAAAACATGCGAGATGATCGATGCTTTATTTTATCGATGAGATAGAACGCATCGCTATGGTAGTACTCGAATAAACTCAACTCCTGTAAAGCCGCATAGCGGTTTACATAGCTGAGAGAACCCGGATTGTTGCATTGTTCGCTCGGAGAATTTCACACAGCCTGATGAAAGTTAGCTATGCCGGTACGTGGATAAATATTTTGACGTATACAATGTATAAATTGATTGATGAATGCATCGCCGTATACGCGGATAAATTTAAATTATGTCTGGAATCATTTTATCAGAGCTTACACTCTTTTTGTCAGATTGAAGTATTTAATTAAATGCTG